TTTTCGGTAACATAATCCTCCTCGTTGGAATTCTCAAAGGCCAAACTGAATTTATAGCGCTTCAGAGTTTCAACTTTATCAACTGCTAGATTAATTAAAAAAAAAAAAAAAAAAGCAAATTATTTAACAGTAACAGGTTATGTATATCTTATCAAACTATAGATATCAAGCCATAATATATCTGTTCATTCCCCAAGAGATACGTTGCACATGTTATATGCACACATACATGAAGATATATTCTTAACCCTTCAAGCAAGTATATTCCCTGTGCACCGTGTTGTTGCCATATACAGAACAAGAAAAAAAAAAATACTAAATCCAATAGATTTCTCTCCTAGAGGCAACCACATTCATATATTGTAATGAACGAACTTTAAACTCTTTTTATACCCAAAAAATTTTAACTTTTTTGACGTGAATATCCAAATGACATGTTCGCAAAAGGTAGCGATGTTTATCTCCATTTCTCTTTTAGTGGATTTGATTCAAGATGCCAACTATTTAGCCAATATATGGAACATCTAGTCCAATGTGATTGCAAACCTAGAATTCAATTTCCTACAAGACAGCATGGAGCCAACGCAGAACATGTTCAACACAAACAAAATAAATGCCATGATAATTGAATCCCAGATTGTTGCAAACCTCATACGACACGCCAAGAAAGCACAACATACTTACGAAAGCAAGAGAGTTACAACTCCAATTTGCAATGATTTGACACGAGAAACTAACATGGTCTAATTATTATTACTTTACAAATCGTATCTGAAATGTCACACCTTTTCCATCACGGTTTCTGTGGCAACCGCCATAAGAGTCTATCTTGATGTTAGCACTTTCAAGTGCTTCAAGAGCTTGCAAGCGGAAGTTGAGGGCACCACAGTTGGAAATAAATGCAGCTGCTAGGGCTGTCTCAGTTTTTGGCTGGACAGGTGCCATGATGTCGTACTCAGCCCAAGAAAAATATCCAACAGGAACATCCGATGAGAGACTAGTTGTCATAACAATATTATATTTCCTACCAGTACAAAGGTAAAGGTTTAAAAATATTAGATATACAAACAAGTTTTAGTAGAAATGAAGTTCTCATTCTGAGGGTTTCCCCCAAAGGAAAAGAAGAACACTGTCCAGAATGCAATCGAGAAATGATTACATTAAGTAATTCCAATTGACAACATGAATAATTGGTATATCCCACCAGCACACTTAGGCTTATATCCCACAGCATCATCAAATGGTAATGTTTCAGGTTGATAGACGTTTAGACATTTGACATATGAGATATTCTAAACCAATGGTTAATGTTTAATGGGATAAAATAATTTGTTTTCATCTCTTCAAATTTGTGGTTACTTTTTTTCCCAGAAAATAAGCCTTCAAATATCTTAAAAGCATTTAAATAAAAATTGCTCAATACTTGTACGAGATTGCAATTCCTATGATAAAGGGATAACATTTCTTCAAACAACATAAAATGAAAAAGAGAAAATCTTCAAAAACTGCAATAAGGCCATATTTGTTTGTGCTTACCCACCGTCGTGCATGAGCAAGATTATTCTCTGAATAGTATTGAGCTGATTCCATGGACCGAAGAATACTGGCGGTCCCAGATTGGTGAGCTAAACCAACAGCAGCATCAGGTTTTTTTGCAGGATTGTATCCAAACTGGCACCCAACAGAACAAGATTTCCATTCCTATGTAGTTGACAATACAAAAGTAATTAAGAACAAACACAAGACGTGACAAAAGTGTATTGTGTCAGCTATGTCCCAAAACTCCATGTTGAAGTCCCCCAGAACGAAGGCTCAATTCAGTATACCTAAATTTCAAATATGAGCAAGAGAGAAAGAGAGTATCGTAAAAGCATCAACCGCTAGACTACCTTCTACCAAGACTAACATAACGCAGCAAAAATTGAACAATAAAAGAACATATGCAGCCAAAAGCGTCAACCGCTTATCCATCTTCAAATGTCAAGGATCAATTGCTCTAGTAGAGTACAAGAACTAGGCATGACTAACACAATGCAGTCGAAAACTGAATATCAAACTTCACATCCTGCTTTCAAGGACAAGGATCAACAGCTTAAGCAGTGTAAACATCTTACAAAAATTCAAACTTGCACTATCTGTCTCACTCATGTCATGAAACTATTGAGATGTAAATCTCAATCCAATTTAAACAAAAATCCAATAAAACGAAAACCACATTGAATTAAAAAAGAAAAAACCACTTTATAATAAATTTCAAAGAAATAAGAAGACAAATAAAATTAAGTAAAAGCTGCAAATTACCTTCTCATCACCAGAAACCAAAATAGGTTCTTTGTCAAAATCCCTGGAATACTCGAGAGCATCCTCTATTTCCAACCACTCCTCGCAACTCAGCAACACCAAGTCCCCACTCTCCGCCGCCGGCACCGCCACTTCATGAGTCGACGGCGTCCGGACGAACAAGTCCGCCCACGAATCGACTAAACCTGTGTTATTTCCGATGTCGAGCTTACCCAGAAACGCGATCTCTGCTATCACCACAAGGGCAACAAAAAATGGCATCAGATTGGACCATTTTCTCTTGGGCGCTGCCGCCGAAGCCACCCCAAGAGAGACCGGTAAGCCGCCTTCGGAGGTCTCCGCTGGTCTCGAGCCTCTCTGAGTGGATATCAAGCCCATCAAACGAACCAAATTGGTGGCTCTATTGGTTTTCCGGGAAATTTCCGACGCTCCCGCGAAGATGACCGAAAAGTCGAGACTTGTAATGGGTTTTTCAGCGGAGGAACATGACGGGGTTAGGTGCGGGCTTCGATGGCAAAGAGGAAATGGGTTTAATCATGGTGATGTACTCGTGGAGTGGTTGATTTTTCTTGAGTTGCAAGTCAAACAACCACAAAGGTTCAAGAGTCTGATGACATCTCCGTCAGGAGTGTTCAATTTGTTTTTGTTTTTGTTTTGTCTTTTTGTTTTTTTTTTTTTTTTTGGAAAAATTGTTTTTGTTGTTTGGAGAAGCAAACGTAAAGCATCGTTTTGTTGTGCGTTCGACGAAGATGGAATCATGGAGACACGGTAACGCTACGGATGGCCAAACCCGCCCGAATTGTTCAAACCACCCAAACCACACCGTAATTAATATGATTTGGTTCGCCTATTTAGAATCGACTAGATCAAACCAAATTATTTGTATTTTGGTGTGAATCCATAACGCACTAGGTTGAATTAAAGATAATTACTAAAAGTAACTTCTTACTTTATTAAAATTGAAAGATAATCATCATAATAATTCATCACTTTATTAATATTTGTTGCGTCCTATTTATGTGAGGGTTGCTTAGATTGTGTGATACTCTTTGTACTACACTAAAGAAGAGGATTAACTACAATTCTATAAGAAAAGAATCACCAGAATAATGGATAATCTATAATCCAAATCTAACTAAGATTACACAATTACATGTTAAATAACTAATGAATGGCAAGTGCTTTTCCTTGTGTGGATCCTATTTCAATGGAACTTGATGAGTCGATCCGCCTACAACAATACCCTTGAGTGTGTAAATACTCAAGTTGATGTAACATATTGTTCGGAAAAGTTGAGGAAAACGACTTGTTGGCATTGATTTTGGAACATGCTAGTCTCAAATAGGGAACTTGCATATGGAAATAAGTCTCACAAAATTTGGTTTGGCAATGCTTCTTTAGAGAGCACTTCTGCTGAAAAGAGCTTTCAATAACAATATTTCTATTATAAGCACCTTGAAATTATCAAGAAAAATGTCAATGCTTCTTGAAAAAACACATGAAGTACTTTCCAAAAGAAGCACATAACAAATGATTTCAAAAAAGCACTTCAAGTTCTTTTTTGAAAAATTAAACACTTTTAACTTTTTCAATTAAACATGATCAGAAGCGTTTTCGTGATCTAGAACGCACTTTATAATTAGATGAGTTTTGTAATCTAAAAGCACTTTTATTTATTTTAAATACACTTTCAAATATTGACTTTGTCATAACCTCCCACGAAAGAGGCAAGGGCATGTTTAGTGAACTGGTTCGGATTGGATTGGATTGAACTCTGGGTATTTAATTGCATTTGTTTGAATTGACTTGAAAATTCGTCTAAGATTGTATTTGAAATCCAATAAAAAAACATAGATTGAAAACCCCCTATTTTTGGATATAAATTTGAAATTCATATCCGATTCATGATACACTTAACTCCACCAAACAATGGACAAGATTAATATCCAATGTAATTTGACTTATCATATCCAATCTGGTGGACCAAACGCAGCCTAAAGGTACCTAGTCCAGGATTAGGCTACATTAGGTTGCTATATGATAAATGAGTAGTTGAAATTTGGTAATCTGGTAATTTAAAAGTATGGCCTAGCAACTCTGTACTACGGTCTGATGATATTCCTCTTCACTTATAAGTGAGAGGTCTTATGTTTAAATCTCGTAAATAGCGAATTCAATACTAAATTAAGTTGTCTATTGTGTAACTTAGCTCCCCCCCCTCTTTTTAGTGTAAAATATAGGGAATTATTATTAGCACTCCAAAAATCTCATTCTACACTCCAAACTTTCTATGTTATGAAAGAAAATATATTTGTGAGGAGTATAGAATGAGATTTTTGAAATATCAATAACACTTCCCAAAATATATCATTGTACTAAAAACAAAAAAAGACAATTATTATTGGCACTAAAAAAATCTCATTTGTCACTCCAAACATTCTATAAATAGAAACAAAAATACACTTGTGAAGAGTGTAGAATGAAATTTTTAGAGTGCTAATAACAATTCTAGAAAAATAAATGAGTATGACCTCGTTTGGTGGCACATACATAATGGATTATTATATAGGTTAAGATCTACATGAAACGATGGATACATCCAATCCTGTCCGACCCACCAAACGGGGCCCATGCATGTCAATCTGGTAATTAAGTGCCCCTACAGAATATTAATCAACCTTCCATCAGAAGAGAAGGAAAAAGAGAAACTACCAAATGCTATAACAAAATTCACCTGTTCTGAAATTTGTCCACAAAGTAAATTAGAAATATCATAATGGAATTCCATACACTGGAGAAACCTATCTCGACCGCTACCAATGTGAATTATCAACTAAACCTACTGCCGAAGTCTAACGGAGATGGTCTCTTCCATGTAAACTTTTGCCCGAAGAACGGAGATGGTCTCCTCCATGTATGCGATTGCATTAGCCATCTTCCAACAGCTGAAAATGTAAAGTATATCCTTCCAATGAATCTGTAATGTTTACCTGTCAAAACTTCAATACGACGTTGCAGCTCAGCTTCCTCTTAGGCATAGCGAAGATCAGAATTCGGACATATGAAGCTCACCTGGTGCTCTAACAGCAATTTGTTGTACGCTCTACTCCTTCAAAGGGAACATTATGGACCACTGAAACCTCTTTAGTATCAAAATTTCCCGAAGGCACAAGCTGAAAAAGCACATTAGGGAGTTAAAAAAAATGGCTACCTCAACAATTAAGACGGGACAATAACCATGGGATCTTATGTGTTATAACCAAGGCAAGAGGAATATGCAGAACTTGTTCCAAATGTTATTTTTTGGTGTTCTTGTGTTTAATGTAGACTTACTTGATCATTGCTGAAAGCATCAGCCGCAGCTCTTTTATGCCTTTTTGGTACAGATTCATTTCTTAGCTTCTCTCCATCGTCTTCATCCACAAAGTTCTGACCAGATACTTCTGTGAATAGACAAAGATCAAAAACCAAAATGGAAAATGAAAAAGTGAAACACACGAATCGATAAAAGCATATGATGGAATTCTCAATACCCAGTGCATGCAAATTAAGGAATACTGCAATAACATGGTGTTGTCTAGCAACACTGCAATGCAAGGATGACATATGTTCATAGCTGTCAATAATGTGACACTACAGGTACTTAGGCAAAAGTGAAAGCATTTATTTTACTCAAAATACCAAATTTTCAAAAGAAAAAAAACGTTGTTATGTGTATTGGTGTATATGTATACACAGGCATAAGTTGACCAGAATGTATTTACCAAAATGGCTAATCCAGGGAAAGTGGAAAGATCAATTAAAATTTTGAGTTCCCAATTAGGTACATGAGGTAGGCATCGTACCCTGTTTCCCAATTAGGTACATATGTAGCAATTACCAAGAACTACTGTTCTTTCCACAATTTTGTAATCCACGTATATCTCCTGCACTTATGCATGCAAATCGCGTGTATGTGCATGGGGGCGAGAGAGCGAGGTAGTGTGCATGTGCATGAAAGTAACGTACGAAATAGGGAAGGAAATTTGGGAGAAATTATCTGAAAGAACTTATCATAAGGAGATTGAAGGTGAAATTCTGCACAAATAGGCAAGTTAGTCATAGTTACCTCTTGATGAGGCATTGATGTTTTTCGAAGTCAGCCTCTCTCTTAAGTGGATCCCCGTACTCCAAGACAAGACATGCTCTCGAAGATTAGGAGATGACCCATTGCAGCCTTTTCCTGCAGACAGAAAATGACTTATGCCTGGACTCTTCAAAGTAACATGAGAATCAGCTGTGCTTTCCATCAAAGTTTCATTCCTTTGAAGGTTGATTTTCTGCAAACCGCCATCTTGAAGAACCATGAACTGCAAAATAATTCATGATGTATACAATTACCAAACCAAACCATAACCCACATGTTCACAGACACAACCAAGACGTATAGCAGATTTGATCCCTTACCTGCTCAGAAGAATTCTGAGTCTTGAATGGCAACTCATGTGATGAATGAGTTCCTCTAACGTTCTTTTGTTTATTCCACTCCCTCAAACGCATGGAACGGTATAACTTGTTAACAAATGATGTTTCTAAAGAGTTAATATACAGTTCATGCTTCTCATTTGTCCACTCCATCGATGCATCCTGCAATAGAATATCATTATGAAGTTTTAACATATATGACCAAACAAAAACAATGGAGCTCATCATTAAATTGTGCAGAAAGTTACAACAGTAGAAGTAAAACAAAACATATTAACTTCAAAGAGCATAATAAGAAAAGGAGATTACCCTTTAACTTACAATCAAATTCATAATAGACTCAACCTTTAGTTTCTTGTTCTCTAAAGCATTCTTGAAATTTGTTACTTGAGAACATGAACGCCCTAAGGATCTAGCTGAATGGATAACAAAATCAAGTTCTCTATCCCTTTCTTTTCACAATCATCATCCGAATTATCAAAGCATATTTCTCGAAACTGCATAATCGGAGGAGTTATGATGTTCGCTTAGGCACAGCGCTACAGTAGTTACAACATCTTGTCCCAGATTCTTCATTTCAGCTTGCATAAATCCCAATTCTAAACTAGTTCGACTTTGTTAATCTAAAGCAATATCTTCTTTCAAATATTAAAAGAAATTGTTTCCAACACCTCTAACCACCATGAAGATAAACACATATTTCAAATTGTATAATTCCATTTTTATAAAAAGAAAGTTTTAAATCCTGCAGTTTCAGGGCACTAATGTACATGCCATTAAGTGATTTAAAATCGAAAAACTTCATTAAAATACTAATCAAAATCAAAACACTACTACACGGAACAGATGAGAACGAATGTGCATATAACTTAAGTATCAAGGAAAAGAGAAAGCAAATGAAAAATGCTTCCATGCCCCTGAATTCTCCTAAGTAGACAGTGGACTGTCACTATCAAAGGAAGCATTGATCATGAGCTCGATCCTCGACTCGTAGTCCTACATTATAATCAACTCTCCACTCAAACGTCCTTGCATAGAATTGAAACCATGACGAAAGAGTTAAATACAAATTATCGTCATCGCTATGAATCCACAGAGAGCTCAAAATAATTCTAAACACCGCCACTGGAAATGTTAAACACATCAAAAGAGCATCAAAACTGCACAAACAATTTCCAAAAGTAAAAACTGCACAAAAATGACACCAGTTATTTCTCAATTCAAATTCCAAAATGTTTGGAAATGCGATCTCCTTCTTCTGTATAATAGATTTCTTCTAAAACATTATCCATTGTAAATATAAAAACATTAAATTTTTTAAAATAACTAAATAGATTTGATTCTAAAAAATGGCATGCAAAACACCATCAGTGGATCCGAAACCAAAAAAATTAAAAGCATACAAAATCTCAACCAAATACAGAATAACAGTAATTCTTCTACAAATATTAATATAAATTTATTGAATTAAAAAAAAAAAAGAACGGTTATATGTACGGAATAAGAGGTAAGAGTAAGAAAGCAGAGCTGAATAAAATGGAATTTTACCAAAGCTGCATGCGAACAACGAAGCCGGAGCTCCTTGGAAGCGTCAAGCATAATGGCGGAGGAGGACGGCGAATTGGAGACGGCGAGAGTCAACTCGGGATCCGAATCCGGAGGCTGAGTATTCTCCCGGAGATTCTCTCCCATCGCCGGAGTTCAGCTGGCCGATCGGACAGAATACGAAACGGTGCGTTTCGAAAGCTCTCGCGGAAGAAAAAGAGGGAGCAAAACAAAATGTGCTTATAAAATTCAGCAGAAAAACCCTCGTCGTTCTGTTCCGGGAGGGCCGCGAACAATGTGAGAGAGAGAGAGAGAGAGAGAGAGAGAGGGGGGCTTTTTGTTGTTGTTGGGTTAGGGCCAATGAAAGCTCCAGATGGCGGGCTCTTTCCACGCGTCGGTTGAATCAGCTAGATGCCACGTCATCCTCAAGAAATATCTCCCAGATATTTTCTTTCCTCGTCAGGGACGAGTTCTCGTGCCGTACTCTCGAAGTTGGGAGCGATGGCATATTCGGTGCGGGGCGACTAGAACGCACGCGCTGGGTTTTAGTGGAGCATGTGGCGTTACATGATCACGAATAAATTTGTTGGGTGACTGCAATTGCTTATGTAACATCATTTTATTTCGCCTTTATTATAACGTGTGAATTAACATAAGGAGTTGTAAGGAATATGATTTTTTTTCCTTTTTATTCTCATTTCTTTCTCATTTTCCTCCCTCTTATTTCCGTTTCTTTCTTTTCTCACACTTTGTTTTTTATCTTATTGTCTTTGTAATAAAAATCAATATAAAATGTTCATGCGTCTTAACTATCACCGTTTAAGTAGAAGGGGAGAGAATTCTCCTCCAAGTTGTAATTGGTACTCTCAAAATCTTTATCTGCACTTTTTAGTAAGTGACCCTTTATCACAATGATGGAAAGGAAGAGAGCTATTACATGACGGTGTGAGTTCAAACTCGGTTAATAGTTAATCTATCATCTAATTTCATAAAATCTATCGTTCAACAAAAAAAATTAAGGAAAACTAATGAAAAATGCTTGAAAATTTTGAGTTTTAACAATAAAGACAAAAGAGTAAAGTAAATAGTACTAGGATTGACCTTTTAGTGTAAAAATATGATTTTTCGTTTAAGTGAACAATATCACAGACTTTTCGTTAAAACTCTATATATATTATAATTTTTTTAATGTAATTTCTAAAATCTTGAAAACCTCGTTAAGTATGATAACATAATCATAATAGGGAGACGTAGAGACCTTTTTTTTAATTACATCTCTCTCCAAATTTCTTCGTTCTTCATCATCAGACCTTTTTTTTTTTTTTTTTGAACTCTGAGTCTGGGCAAAGTTGTTCGTTCTTTCTTTTTCTAGGTAAGTCATTCTTTTTCTTTGTATTTAGAAAGATTATTTGTTGCCTTTGTTTAGCATAACTTTATTTTGTTGAAAATAAAAAAGAAAGATGCTCCTTAATGACGTTTGCTATGCTATTGTCTCATATCAAATCTGGAAGGAAACAAAATTCTACCAGAAATCCCTCCACTATTTTTTTTTTTCTCGTCATCAAAATCAAACCCAAATGAAAGATTAGTAGGGCTTGCCAAAGGAAAACACTTCCAAAATTAGATAATACTTGGGTACTCATTATTGAGTATTCATCGTTTGATTTTGTCCAATGATATTTTAACACATATATTATTGTTTTAAAAAATAATAATCAATATGTTATTAATTTTTCTTGAGTTTTAAAAAATAAGGAACACGTGATATTGTTTTTATTAGGACATTAAGTATGTTATCAAAATTATTTTTAATGAGACTTTCGAAATTTTATGGACGTTAATAACAATATAGGGGTGCAAGTGGTCACCACAATTGTGCCGGGGGGGGAGGAAGTGGTGCTCTTGCATTACGGTGTGGGTTCAAAGTCCATTGGTTCTCTAATCTAACAAATCGATCATTTAACAAAAAAAAAAATATAGGGGTAAAATTGAAATCACATTAAGAAATTTAGAATAGATAAATTAAAAATATAGAAGGAGTGCAGATTGAGATATTAAAAGTACAAATACTAGCTCCCTTAAAATATTTTGATGATATTGGTCACAACTAAATATTATTAAAATTCAAGTGTTTTTTGGAAAATTATTTAGAAGTGCTTCATGAAAGAAACGCTTACATCAGAAGGCAAGTATTAATTTTAAAATTCACAAACAGTTTGAGCCACTTATTTCAAACATTGTCGTAAGAGATTTTAGTTATTTAAAAACACTTTTTTGGTCATTTTAAAAATATTTTTAAACATGTCTCTAACATGTATTATCCGCTTAAATAAAATATATTCTAGGTTGTAAATAAACACTCTTTAACACACATGTTATATTCAACTGAGAATGCGACCTAATGGTATTGCAATTGTTCTATTCTAGCAAAGGAATAATCTCACAGTATCCAACAATAGTAAGACACAATTTTTATTTTTATCAAACAATAAATAATTAATACTAAAGTGATTTAAACTATGAGAAAGGAGAGAATTTGAACTTAAACGGAGTAAGTGTAATTAGAAATGCTATATCCACTAGGTCAATCTAATTACTTGCAAATAAGACACATAATTTAATATGAGATATTTCATTGCTCCTTAAGCTTTCGTATGGTGACACGTGTAGGTTGTAGTTTGATATTTTACCGAGGGTAATGCTAGGAAGACCAAAATTTGTAAACCAAATGATGTTTCTCTAATAGAAAATAAGCACATTAATCAACGCTTAAATAATATCCAATCATCAACAACCACATCATTTGGTTTACAAATTTAGTTTAAAAACTTTGGTCTCCCTAGCATTCATGTCCCTTGTAGCTTTTTGTAATTCTAACCTTTTTAGGCCTGAAATTTTACGAGTCCACAAGGTTGGAAAAGACTGACCGATACATGTTTGCATTGTCATAGTTATGTCCTGTAAGCATAGTCTGATGTCGTATGTTCGCACATCTTCGGAGGATATTGTCTTAATGTTACCAATGACATCTCAAAAGTGCGTGTATTTGTACTATTTTTCTCTACTTATAAATAAAAGGTCTCAAGTTGTACTCACATGCATCACGAATTTAATACTTAATTATTATCATAATCTATTGTGTGATTTAGCCAACTAATATTGACATTTTACTTGTATATGGTAACATGGTAAGGACCATGACCGATAGCGGTGAAGGATCAAGTGAAGTGGGTTTAGAGAGATTAAACTTAACCCGATAGAGTTAATATGGGTTTAGACACAAATTCAACACGATATTTCTACACTAAAGGAAGAGAGAAATTGTTAAGATATGTTTGGGTGATAGATTTATAAGTCCCAAGAAATTAAGGTCAAGTTAGATAGAGAGGATTAGAAATGCAATTGCAAATGCATGTGAGAGAGATCTGTAAATGCCTACTTCCATGTAGTGTTTAGCAATTCCCTCTTACATGCCGTTGTAGTGCACATAGATAGCTTATCTAATCCCTTTCATTTAACATTTTGAAGTCTTATTGTTACTAATTTTGAAGTCTGTCATAAATCACTCGAAAATAGCCTAACTGTTGTTAGGTGTTACGGGCCCATAATGAGAGAGATTTATATGATTGGTACTGATAATGAGGAAGATTTTGTATTAAGTTACACCCTTACTACTTTAGTGACCGTGTGATAATCAATTCATTTTCAATTTTAGTTTTCACCTATTGAAAACTAAGAAGTGAAAGCTTGTTACCTAACTGTTTTCAATTTTGAAAACCAAAAACTGAAAAGAATTGCCAAGAACACTATTCGTTTTCTGAAAATGAAACTAAACATTAAAAATAAAAATCAAATAGTCGTTTGATAACCATTTTTTTTTTTCACTTTTTATTAAAAACTAAAAAATTATTGAAATAAATAATTAAATTTATAATTTACACTTTACACTTTAGGAAATTCAAAAAATTATTTTTGAGATTAGATGGAAGAAGATGATGATTCCCGAACGGAGCAAGCGACAAACTTGGCCCACTGCCGCAATCTCGTCTTCACCTCCTCCGCATCGCCACTGTCTGAAACAATATATCAAAAAACACCAATCAAAACCCGGCCGATAAAAAAAAGTCCAAGATCAAATCAATCCAACGGTTCACATCAACCAAACCTGTTAACAAGCTCTTACTGCACTGCTTATTTACATCGTGGTAAAACTCCAAAGCAGGTAAAGTATCGGATAGTTTCGGGTCGACGTCGGGTAAATCGAACCCGAATCCGAGCTCAATACAGGCCTTCAGCTCCTCCAAATCATCGCCGGAAACGCTTTTGCTACGAACAAGGCGGCGCGTGCCAGAAATGCTCGTACGACGCTGCCACGTCTCTTCCCGGATCGTGTCGGGCGACCACGAAATCTGCTTGTAGAGAGGGCGAGGCGGTGGTACGTGGGGGTTTTTCATGGTGTCGCCAAGGAAATGCTGGCGTCGTCGTCGTTTTGGACCTTTGGTGGCGGCCGGAAAGGATGAGGGTTTGGCGGCAGCGGGAAGGCATTTTTATAGATAGGCGCGTGTTGATTGGTTGCCACTTCAGAATAAGGCCGTAGTGGGCCCCCCGCTTGCGGGTCCGTACAAAGATGACAGTCAGATAGTAGTGGGCCACAGTTGGTGGAGTCTTTTATTTTAATTTTTTATTTATAAGTTAATTATAATTAAAGTGTTACCATACGACATTTTTACCTTTCACATTTTTTTTTTTGATTTTTGATCGTTGGATTAGATGAATTATAATTTTTATTTTTGTCAAATGATAAATTTTATTTGATTAGTTATCGACAGAGTTCGAATTCATACCGTCATGCAATCTTTTCACCATTATAACTATGATTACGCGTTACTTGCAATTATAATTATAATTTATTAATGGTCAATTTTTCTTTATTATTTATTTCTCTAGTCCATGATGTCAAAGTGAAGCAAGGTGTCTGGACACAAGCTGGCAAAGTGGAATGAGTCATAGCCGACGTGGAATCAACAGAAAAAAACAGGTAGATATTCTTACAGCATTCTAAACGCTGCCTTCACATCCAAGAATCAGATACGTATTTGGATCCATTATAAAACTAGGATGGCAGGGAAGGTAAAACACGCAGGAAATCTATAAGACTAGACAAGGTTTTTCGCTGAAGAGTTTGTGTTTATCGTACATTGTGTGGTCAGAAATTATTTTCAATTTTTTTATTTAAGATTAAATACAAATAATATCTAACGAAAACTAACCATACGATGTACGATAAATGGTCATGATGTGAGGATCCCTAAGATCC